TATTGTTGTTATTATTATTATTATTATTATTATTATTATTATTATTATTATTATTATTATTATTATTATTATTATTATTATTATTATTATTATTATTATTATTATTATTATTATTATTATTATTATTATTATTATTATTATTATTATTATTATTATTATTATTATTATTATTATTATTATTATTATTATTAATATGATTATAACTAATAATCAGTAATAATAAAAATGACTATTATTTTAAATAATCAATAATAACAAAAAATTACTATTATTAATATTATCATAACTGACAATCAATAATAATTTAATAACAAAAAAATTGAATTCAAATTGCACTTTCAGTCCGTGTAAATGTAAAAAAAAAATTATTTTTTCCTACCAAAAAAGGTTTTAGAATCTAATTTCGTAAACGAAAATTATTTTGACCTTTAATATTGTGATACTGATATGTTACTTAATGTAAATGAAACCTTCTATTTTTAAGTGAAGTAAACTTTTTCTTATTCTTTACATTTGAAAAGAAGCATTTTTTTTATTACTTAGAATAATAAATTCCTGTGTTACTTTTTTTTTCTTTTAATGAAAAGAAGAAATTTTTTTCATAATAGATACGTCATACGTCAGTCATTAATGTCTCATAAGAAAGAAAATTGAACCTTGAAAATTGATCCTGTTTCTTCTTTCTTAAACATCTTTTATTGAAAAATTATTGAATTCATTCCAAGAATTTTATTATTCTTTCTTTTCTTATTAATTACTTTTATTTCTTAATTTTTTTTCTTTTTCAATTTGAAATTCTTTTCGTTATATGGATGAATCGAAAAATATTTTTCTTTTTATAACATTTATAATATATTGACATTATATTTTGTTCACGAATATTGGGAAAGAAAAATTGCGTTCGCTATAGAGGAGAAAAAAATGTTGCAAGTCGACACGGAAATGAGACTTTTGACATATATTTTTTATGTTACCATTGATACATATTTTTCTTAAATTTTGAAAAAAAAACTTTTCTTTGACGCGATTTTAATTTGTGCAAGTAACAATGGAATTACGACACGTTTATGAGAAAAAATTTCTTAAATTAAATGAAAACAGACATTTGGCATTTGATTTTTTACGTTTGTGACAATTTTTTTTTACAAATTTAAATAAATTAGTGAATATTTTTTTAACTTATTTTTTATATTTCTTTATTTATGGATATATAAATATTTATTTATTTGAAAAAAAATAATTAAAAACAGTATTAAAAATAATTAAATTGAAACTTTTTTAATACAACTATGAAGAAAAAATGGGGGAATTTATTATTGCAATAATTATAAAAATAAATCTGATAAATAAATAGCAATTTTTTTATTATTATTATAATTATGATAATTATCTATAATCATCGTAGCTAATAAATTTTAAAAAATAATAAATAGCAATTATTATTATATTTTCTACTTCATATAATTATTATTATATTATTATAAATAAATTCTAATTCTACAAGGAATTAAAAATTAGAAAAAATGGCAATTGGCTTTTGTTTTTTTTTCTTTAAAAATATTGTTAATAAATATTGTTTAAATAAAAAAAATATTGTTTGACAAATCGAAAATATGCAAATATTTTTTCATGATTTATGATAAAGTTTTTTTCCTTTTTATTTATAAAAAATATTAGAAAATTGTTAATTGTTGAAAAAATTATTATTTTTTAAAGAAATTTATAAAAAAAAAATTCGTAAATAATTTTGGGAAAATTTTTATTATTTACGAAAATAATTAAATATTTACAAAGAATTTTATTAAAAAATTTTTAAATAATTGAGTTTCGAAGAAGAATTTTATTATTTATAAAAATAATTAAAATTTTGAGTTTATTCAAATTTCAAGAAATTTTGATGAGAAAATTCTTTCGATAAATTTGTTCCCAGTGAGAAATTTTTCCCTTTCAATAGTTTCCTTTTTTAACCAAAAAAAAAAAAATTTTTTGTTAGAAAAATGTTTTCCACTTATCAAAAAAAAAAATAATTTCTCTTCAATTTTCAAAGAATATTTTTTTGATTCGAAATGTAATTCGAAATTCAAGAATTTTTTCGATTTTTTTTCAAATTTCAATACAATTGAGAAATTTTTTTCGAGAAATTTTTCCTTTCGATAAAGTTTCCTCAGTTTTAATCAAACTAGATTTTTTGAATTAGAAAAATTTTTTCCACTTTTCAAAAATAAATTTCGAAATATTCACAATATTCGAGAATTTTTAGGCTTTTTTTAAAAAAGTATTTTCCATAACGATTTTAATAAATTTTTTATCCATTGTTTTATTTATTTTTTATTGTTTATTTATTGCAAGAAAATTGTTCTAAGTTTTCATTTTCAATCATTTTCTAAAGTTTTTCTGTTTTTTTTTCTTTTTTTTTTGAATTTTTGGTTATTTTGAAAAATTAGTTTCTAGTTTAGAAAATTACTTTATACTTTTGAAAAAATATGTTTCATTTTCAAAAATTACCTTCTATTTTGCAAGAATACTTTATATTTTGGAAAAATATTTTTTATTTTGCAAAATTACTCTCTATTCTGGAAAATTACTTTTTATTTTGGAAAAATTGTTTTTATTTCGTAAAAATTTTTTTTTATTTTGCAAAATTGGTTTCTATTTTGAAAAATTATTGAAAAAAATATGTTTTTTTATCAAGATTACTTTTTATGTCGAAAAATTACTCTTTATTTTGGAAAATTGACATTTATTTTAGAAAATTAATTTTTTATTTTTGAAAATTACTTTCTAGTTTGGAAAAATACGTTTCATTTTCAAAAATTACCTTCCATTTTGCAACGTTACTTTATATTTTGGAAAAATACGTTTCATTTTGGAAAATTACTTTTTATTTCAGAAAAATACTTTTATTTTGGAAAATTACTCTATTTTAAAAACATTAGTTTTTTTTTAAATTATCTTTCTTTTTGGAAAATTAATTTTTATTTTTGGGAAAATATTTTTTACATTACAACAATAGTTTTAATTTGGAAAATTATATTTTATTTTGGAAGAATAGTTTTTATTTTAAAAAGTCACCTTTTACTTTGGAAAATTACTTTATATTTTGAAAAATTACTTTGCATTTCAAAAAATACTGTTTATTTTGGAAAAATAGTTTTTATTTTGCAAAAATAGTTCTTATTTTGTAAAATTAATTTCTATTTTGAAAAAATTGTTTTTATTTTGGAAAAATTTTTTATTTTGCAAAAATTACCTTCCATTTTGCAATATTACTTTGTATTTTGAAAAAATACATTTTATTTTGCAAAATTACTCTCTATTCTTGAAAAATACTTTTTATTTTGGAAAAATACTCTTTATTTTAAGGAAATTTGTTTTTTAAAATTGTCTCTCCTTTTGAAAAATTAATTTTTATTTTTGGGAAAATATTTTTTATATTTAAAACAATAGCTTTAATTTGGAAAATTATATTTTACTTTAAAAAAATAGTTTTCATTTTAAAATGTCACCTATTATTTTGGAAAATTACTTTTTATTTTGGAAAAATACGTTTCATTTTGGAAAATCATTTTCTATTTTTCAAAATTACTTTATATTTTGAAAAAAATACATTTTATTTTGTAAAATTACTCTTTCTTCTGGAAAAATACTTTTTATTTTTTAAAATTACTTTATATTTTGTAAAAATACATTTTATTTTGCAAAATTACTCTCTATTCTGGAAAAATACTTTTTATTTTGGAAAAATACTCTTTATTTTAAGGAAATTAGTTTTTTTCAAATTGTCTCTCCTTTTGAAAAATTAATTTTTATTTTTGGAAAAATATTTTTTATATTAAAACAATAGTTTTAATTTGAAAAATTATATTTTACTTTGAAAAAATAGTTTTCATTTTAAAATGTCACCTATTATTTTGTAAAATTACTTTTTATTTTGGAAAATCATTTTCTATTTTTCAAAATTACTTTATATTTTGGAAAAAATACATTTTATTTTGTAAAATTGCTCTTTCTTCTGGAAAAATACTTTTTATTTTTTAAAATTACTTTATATTTTGGAAAAATACATTTTATTTTGCAAAATTACTCTCTATTCTGGAAAAATACTGTTTATTTTGGAAAAATATTTTTAATTTTGAAAATTATATTTCATTTTGGAAAAATAGTTTTCATTTTGGAAAAAATACCTTTTTTTATCAAGATTACTTTCTATGTCGAAAAATTACTCTTTATTTTGGAAAATTAACTTTCATTCTGGAAAATTACTTTCTACTTTGGAAAAATAAATTTCATTTTGGAAAATCACCTTCTATTTTTAAAAATTACTTTGTTTTAGAAAAAATACATTTTATTTTGTAAAATTACTCTCTATTCTGGAAAAATACTCTTTATTTTGCAAAATTTGTTTCCATTTTGGAAAATTACTTTATATTTTGCAAAATTACTCTGTATTTTTTAAAAATACTGTTTATTTTGAAAAAATAGCTTTAATTTTGAAAATTATATTTCATTTTGGAAAAATAGTTTTTATTTTCGAAAAAATACCTTTTTTTATCAAGATTACTTTCTATGTCGAAAAATTACTCTTTATTTTGGACAATTAAGAAGTTAGTTATTATTATGATAAAAAATAAATAAATTCTAATTCTACAATGAATTAAAAATAAGAAAAAATAGCAGTTGAGTGTTATTATTTAAAAATTTTAATTGAATGTAATTAAATGAAATAATTAATTACATTATAATGATGATAATTATAATAATAGTTATAGTAAAATAAATAAATTAGAATAATTCGAGGAGTGAAATAATAATAATAATTGACGAGGAATTAAATAATATTGAGTGATTAGGATGTCACGTGTACATAGGGATTTTGCCGGGACTTTAGAGTCGCAAATATATATTTGATCAACGAAGTCGAGTGTGCTCTCCTGTAGTGTTAAGAAGCCTTCCTCTGGAGGCAGAGATCGGACCCAAAGAGTGGGGAGCTCATATAAGACCCGTAGCCAAACGGTTCTCCCAGTGACCAGTCCCGACACGAAAACCCATCAGCCAAAGCTTCTTCCTCTTCTTCAGGAACTGTTTCAGTTTTTTTTTCTCACGTCCTGTGTACCATTTTATGGTACCCAAATAGGAATAATTATAAACAAAAAAAAAATTAATTAATAATCCATAGAATGTTATCTCAACAAATTGTTCCGCTTTTCTTGGTGCTAATTTTTGCCCATGGTAAGTTTTTTCTTTTACTCCAATTTTAATTGTTTTCGAACTTTTTTTTATGCTAACTTTTCCGTATTTTAACGCTTTTTTTAATTGTATTTATTTATATTTTTATTTATGTATATTTTTTTTAACTTTTTTGTATTTTTTTAATACTTTTTTTATACTGTTTGTATTTTTTTAAATACTTTTTTTATACTGTTTATATTTTTTTTTAATACTTTTGTATACTGTTTGTATTTTTTAAATACTTTTTCTATACTGTTTGTATTTTCTAAATACTTTTGTATACTGTTTGTATTTTTTAAATACTTTTTTTATACTGTTTGTATTTTCTAAATACTTTTGTATACTGTTCGTATTTTTTTAATACTTTTGTATACTGTTTGTATTTTTTAAATACTTTTTTTATACTGCTGGTATTTTTTAAATACTTTTGTATACTGTTTGTATTTTTTAAATACTTTTTCTATACTGTTTGTATTTTCTAAATACTTTTGTATACTGTTCGTATTTTTTTTTAAATACTTTTGTATACTGTTTGTATTCTTTTAATACTTTTTCTATACTGTTTGTATTTTTTAAATACTTTTGTATACTGTTTGTATTTTTTAAATATTTTTTAAATGCTTTTGTATTCTTTAAATACTTTTATATTCTTTTAATACTGTTTGTATTTTTTAAATACTTTTATATTCTTTTAATACTGTTTGTATTTTTTAAATACTTTTGTATTCTTTTAATACTTTTGTATTCCTACTGTTTATATTTTTTTAAAAACTTTTTTATACTCTTTTAATACTTTCTCATTTATTCTTTTTTTTTTTTTTTTTTATTTGAAAAATATTGTAATAGTAATTTTTCGTTTTTTGGATTTTTAAATTTATTGGCTTTTCATATTAATTTAATATTTTAGCGCCTCTTTTTCTGTTCGGAATTAATTAATTGATTAATTAATAGTGACTCATCGTGATTTCAAGAAATTTTGGTATATTTTCGTATTGCGTTTTTTAATTATTTAGTGGCAATAACTAATTTCAGAAATTAGTTTTCGAACATTTTTTTCAGGTGAAAAAAATAGTGTTTTAATTTTTATAGGTGACGTTTTGTTTACGTTCTTTTGAATATTTTGTATACTGATGGCCCGTACTTTCGAAAAAATTTTAATACTTCTTATTTATTAGAATTTTAATCTTTTGCTACTTTTATTGATTTATTTATTTTTTTTTTTGCTTTTTTTAATTTTATTTATTTCTTCTGCTTTTTTAAATGTATTTCTTCTTTTTTTACTTTATTTTCTTTTCTCTTCCTTTTTTTATTTTATTCTTTTTTTCTTTATTTTTTGATTAATTTATTAATTTTTCTGCTTTTTTAAATTTATTTTCTTCTTTTTCTTTACTTTATTTTCTTTTTTCTTCCTTTTTTTATTTTCTTCTTTTTTTCTTCATTTTTTTATTTTCTTTATTTTACTTCTTTTCTTATTTTTTTATTCCTTCTTTTCTATTTTCTTTATTTAACTTTATTTTATTTTTATTTTATTTTTCTTTATTTATTTTTTTTGTTTTTCCATTTTTTAAAATGTTTATTTTACAATTAATTTGAAAAAAAATTCACTGACAACCGCGTTCTTTAATTGTTTTTTGCGATTTTAATTTCGATTGTTTGTAATTAGTACTATTTTGTAATTAGAAATATCTCGGATCTTTAGATTTTTTAATCCCTCACTGTAAATTTTGAGCTCCTACTTAATTAATATTAATAATAAGAAAATGATAATAATAATGATAATAAAAAAATTCAATTTGATTTTTAATTATTTTTAGAATTTTAATTTCTACTTGTTGATTTCATTAGTTTCTATTTGATTAATATTAATAATGAAATAATAATGAATTAATAATAAATTAATTAATAATTACTGTTATTGTTATAATTTATTGTTATTAATTAATAATGTTGTTAATTAAGGGCTTACTGTAAATTTTTGAGTTTTTATTTAACTAATATTAATAATAATAACTATTACTGTCATTAATTGTTGGTATTAATTAATGATGCTGTTAATTACTGATTTACTGTAAATTTTTGAATCTCAATTCAATTAACAGTAGTAATAATTACTATTATTATTATTAATTATTATTTTTATTATTTTTTTTAATTAATAATACTGTTAATTACAGTTTTACTGTAAATTTGTGAGTTCTATTCAATTAATATTAATAATTATAATTACTAAAAATTATTTTTAGTTTCATTATTATTATTATCATTTTTATTATTATCTTTACTATTATTATTTTTATTATCAGTGTCATTATTAATATCATTGTTATTATCATATTCTTATTATTGTCATTATCATTATAATTTTTATTATTATTATTATTATTATTATTATTATTATTATTATTATTATTATTATTATTATTATTATAATTATCGCGTTTTTTTAATTATTTTTGAATTTCCGGTTGTTTATTTCCATTGTTTGTAATCAGTAATATTTTACAATTAGAAAATTAAAAAACCATATCGATTACAATTCTTATTTTTATTATTATAAATAAAAAATACAATTATTCTTATAAATAATAAATTTATAATATTATTATTAGTATTATTATCAGCCAGTTTATTATTCAAAATTTTTAACTTTTAGACAAAATTTTTAACTTTTAGAAAAAATGTTATACAAATTTGTATTTTTTCGATTTAATTTTCTTTTTTGGTTTTAGTTTATTGTGTTTTGCTTTTTATTTTTGTGGTTTTCTCTTTTATTTTTGGTGGTTTTGTATTTTTGTTTATTGCTTTTTGACTTTTATTTTTATGATTTTGTCTTTTTGCTCATTGTTTATTACTCTTTGTTTTTTTGTTGTCCCTTTATTTTTTTGTTTATTGTTTATTACGTTTTGTTTTTTGTTTTTGTCTTTTTGTTTTTTTTCCTTTTGTTTTTTTTTGTTTCTTTTAGTTTTTTTTTATTTTTTATTTAACTGTTGGATTTATTCAATAAATGAAATGAAATGAAATTTATAAATGAAAATTGATAAATTTAATTAATTTTTTTTTTATTGACTGATTTTAATAAAATAAACATTTTTTTTATTTCTCTTAATCTTTCGCATAAAATTGATTTTATTTTCTGTACATTTTTTCTTTCTTTCTTTTTATTTATTTTATTTATTTTTTTTGTTTTTGCCTATGTCACTGAACTCAGCAAGTTTTCAATTTCATTCGATTTCACTTTCATTTTTCATCAACATAACTTAACACCTTCGATTTTTTTTTCCTTTTTATCTTCTTTGCTTTGAGAATTTTTAATTTCCACTATCTTGAATTATTCTCCATTATATTTCTAATATTTTTTTTTCTTTTATTTCTTTTCTATCTTGTTCTCTCTTTCTTTCTCTCAACTCACCATCGAGACCTGTCTTTCAATTCCCTTTCAGTTCAATTACAAATAATTAACCGCACGAATATAACTTTCGATATTCATACATAAATTTCACATTCCATTGAGACTTTATCAGACCTCCTTAAAGGTCAGTGCTACGATTTCTTCGAAAGTGACTTAATTACAGTATAAAGTATTATCGTATAAATTTTATAAATTTTATAAATTTTATAAAATTAAAAAAAAAAAATTGAAATTTAATTAAAATTTATCAATTTGATTTTTTGTAATCTATTTTATAAAAGTAAAGTTAAAATTTGCTCCAAAAGCAGAATCAAAAATTTAAATGAGAAAATAGTGGAGAGAAGAATTCTTTTTTCTCACCGCATGTAATTAATTCCATTTTACAAGCGATCAATTCAATTTAACACTTGGTGTATAATTAAAGTACAATTTTTTTTCTTCACTATCAAATCTATTTTCGCGTGTGGCAATTAATTAGCGTGAAATGCATAAAACAAAAATGCTCTGAATTTATTGAATGCGTGAGGAGAGATTAAATAATTGATATATGAGTAGAGTGAATGAAAAAAAAAAAAAAAAAAAAAAATTAGCTCTCGCAATTATTGAAAAATGAAACGTGTGCGCGTGGAATAAAAAAAGATGAAAGAAATGTGATTCTATATCAGGAAAGTTATACGAGTTGTTTGACCTAGATCTAATGAGACAAGTTGTCATCAATTGTCGACGAGCACACTTCATCGCCAGAGTGTAATTAGTTGTGCATCATCTTCATAAAAGACAATAGTGGCGAATCATTGAGTTTCACACATCTTAAAAACTTTCTCTTGCGTCTTAACGGGTGAAAATATGAAAGTAGCTCAACCGGCAGTTTTACTCTCTCTGTCTCTTTTTCTGTTTCTCTGCGTCTCCTTTTCTATTTGTTCTTCTGTTTTTTTTTTTTTTACTTTTTATTATTGTGGTGATAATTTTATCACAACTTGGTGAAAACGGTGAAAATTTTTTGAAAGAAAATTTCTTTTTCTGACGAATACTATTTGACTGACTGTATAGTCAAAGAAATTATTTTGTCTTTTGGTAAATTTTAGTTTTTTTCAAGTTTCAAGGAATTTCGATGAGAAATTTCTTTCGCTGAATTTTTTTCAATCGAGAAATTTCTTCTGCTGGATTTTTTTCAATCGATAAATTTCTTGCATTTGAGAAAATTTTCCTTTCGATAAATTTCTTTCTTTCGATAAAGTTTTCTTATTTTGAACCAAAAAAGTTTTTCTGAATTAGAAATATTTTTTCCCCTTTTCAAAAATAATTTTACTTCTCTTCGATTTTCAGGTATATTTTTCGGTTCGAAATATTCGCAATTCGAAAATTTTTCCAGTTTTTTTTTCAAGTTGCAAGAACTTTCAATTTAGAAATTTCTTGCGATAAATTTTTTCAGTCGATAAATTTTTTTCAATCGTAAAATTTCTTTCGATAAATTTCTTCCATTTGAGAAATTTCTTTTGATAAATTTTTTCCGTTTGAGAAATTTTTCCTTTCGAGAAATTTCTTCCTTTGAATAAAGTTTCCTTCTTTTTGACAAAAATTTTTTTTTTTT